ACAGCCTGCAGAAGGAACATAACCCTGCTAACCCATTTTAGACTTCTGGCTTCCTGAACTATAAGATAATAAATATGTGTTATCCTAAGCCACTAAGTTCATGGTAATTTGTCATAAGCGTGAAAGAAGAAAGAAAGAAAGAAAGAAAGGAGGGAAGGGAAGGGAAGGGAAGAGAAAAGAAAAGGAAAGAGAGAGAAAGAGAAAAAGAAAAAGAAAAACCCCCTTGCTATATAAAATTCAAACTACAACTATATACTACACTATAAAAGACCCACAGAGAAGTCCAAGAGTTTTAGCTTTTCCATGATGACTTTCATCTTGTTCTGAAATACTAATCATTTTCTGGGGCGCCTGGGTGGCTCAGTCGTGTAAGCGTCTGCCTTCAGCTCAGGTCATGGTCCCAGTGTCCTGTGATCGAGCCCCACATCAGGCTCCCTGCTCAGCGGGAAGCCTGCTTCTCCCTCTCTCACTCCCCCTGCTTGTGTTCCCTCTCTCACTGTGTCTCTCTCTGTCAAATAAATAAAATCTTTAAAAAAAAAAATACCAATCATTTTAAAATATTCAAGTGTCCCTGACCTGCAGGGGCCCAAGCACGCATTTAGCCTATCTACTCGGCTATCCACTGGCTGAGGAGACAGAAACATCTGCTGGGCATAAAAAGCAGAGCTTTCTGGGCCAGTGACTAAGGACAACCAGGATGTGTGGTTTGTGGGACAAGGACGGTTTAGGGTGAGGTAGGGCTATGCTCCCTCGGTCAGACTTGCCCCCAGAATGCTGGGATAGGTGCAGGTGGAGGTCCCTGTGGCTCGTGGCCAGATAACACAAGGGACAGAACCTGCCTTCCTGCTGGTCCTACACTGTCTCCCAAGCCTCACTCCCACCAGCAGGAGCCGGGCAGACAGAGGCTGCCAAGTCCACAGGTCAGAGTGCACAGGCTGGGACAGCTTCCTGAAGGGGGAGGGTCTTGGAGGATTCCTTGGCTAGAAATGTGACTTTAAAATATGTCCCCCCCCCAAGGGGGGACATGGACCTACGAAGTTCAGAGAACAAGAGAAGACATAGAGGCCTCACGCTTGGATAGACTCTGAATAGTTAAGCAGGGCAGCAACATGCTGACCCGCACGGAAGAAGCTCTGTGTTCATGTGCATCTACAGATGGGGCTAGACTGTGGGGACTTGGATTCCAGGCTGGCATATTTGAACTTGCGATGGGCAACAGGGTGGGAAGAATGTTTCAGGGAGATACAGTGGATGGTTAGATGACTGGCAGGGAGAGAGAGAAAAGTTTTAAAACCAACTTCAAAACCAAAGAAATAAATATTTTAAAGTTTGAATCAAATCAAGATAAGGCCCATTTCACCAGTAATGAAGAGAAAATGTTTTTATACTTTCTGTCAACAGAAGATGTTTATATCCTTGTACACTCACTACCCCAGATGGTAAAATAAACCATAAATTATAAAACACTTTACTGTGTCTTGTACAAAAAGAAATTCAAAATAGGCCTATAGATATGCAAAAAGCTTGTGTGCAAATAAAATAAGCATACTCTTTTAAAAATATACACACACAAATATATATACATATATACACACACATTTTCTTCGTAGAATACATGTCTGATTTGCATGATAGAACTGCTCACTTGTGTGTCTGTCACTGGTACACCTTCTAAAACTTGAGTATTAGGATGGAAATGATATAGTAAAAGTAAAGCAATACTCAATATCTTTTTAATAGTTTTCCAATCAGGATATGCAAACTGTTTCATTTTATTTTCAACATTTCGGTGTCAAAAGCTGAGAAGTTCCATCTTAACTGGCTGACCTGAACACCATTATTACAATATTTACACAATTAAAATGGACAGTAAGAGTCAAGAGCACAATGTCACTCTAAGTTCAATCTGATCATCTTTCTTGGAAGACTGGCCTTAACTACCTGCCTTTTTTATTCTACTGAACGCTATTTTCAATTATAAACCACGTCACCTCATCTCAGAATATAAATGTCCAGTCAGAGTAACACTGTATTTGAATACAAGAATCTTCAGTTATCAGGACAAATCAGACCTAATAAATGGTAAGCTTCTTCCTCCTCATTCAGGGTTGGAGGAGATACCACCTCTGCTCGGAACACCTAGGAAACTCATTACTTGTACATTCCGCTGACAATAAACATTCTACCTCACACTGCTGTCATGTTTTCAGGCGTATCTTACATCTCAGTAGATGGCAAGATTTTAAGCAACCATGTTATAAACTCCATAGTGTTTCAGTCCATGTAAACGATGCTTTGTACAGATAGTCAAGCTACTCAATTATGTGAGTAGCTTGACTGTTAAATTCTGAGTGAAGAGAAAGGCATGCCAACAGGTCAGACATGTCCACTTTCGCATGTGCTCATACTTTATGGTCACTTTCAGAGTTGACAAAAATTAGAGTCCACAAGCTTGAAAAAGTCATATTTTAAAGTCACATTTCTAGCCAAGGAATCCTCCAAGACTGCGTTCCTTGCTCACTGCTCATCTCTCCTCTGTGGAGAGAGTCATGGATTCTCCTTACACCCTCCAGAGGGAGCCCACCCCTGCCTTTACAATGCCACGTGTCCCCTCACTTAGCGCTCACAGCACCTCTCTTGTCAGATCTCTATAAAGTCAAGGGAGAAAGTTCTATGACCCATAACCTACTATTACACAATTCCCAATGTTGAAATAGGGATTTATTTCAGGAACAGGAATCTCACATTTGCCCCCTTGGAGGTTTTTGTTAGTTAATACTAGGTCACGAGGGAAAAACTGGGGGAGAAATTCTCTGTTCTGCGGGTGTTCTTGCACTAGTTGATGGACCTTGAGGTGTCCTAGAGGAGAAACCAAGAAACTGTGTTAATCCACTCACTGGCTGAGCTGAGGGAAGAATGCAGGCACTGACCAGAATCTAACTGCTCTCTGCCAACAGCTGAAACCTGCCTTGCTCCGGAAACAAAGGCCATTTCAGCCTAACACGCTAACATGTGGTTCAATTCTCAATGGAGGGAAGAGAGGACCCCGGTCTAGGGACACCCAGGGGTCTGATTCCTAAGACCCTGCATCACTCATGGCCAATTTTGCTACATGGAAGTCCTGACCTCAATCACTGACTGGTCTTACATTTTTGTGGTCTCTGGGTGCCTTGAGACCCTACAGAGATCCCATCCATGCCCAGCCACTGAGTCACAAGCCGGCCTGTGTCCTGTGGTTGAACCTTTCACCCTGGACCCAGCTGAACTACATCTGCCCTTGGGGCTCACAGCTCCTGACAGGCCTTAGCTGGATCTGGGCCTGCCCACTCCACCCTCCTGACCTGCAGTGACCACACAGCATGGGCACAAGATGGGCTCAGAGACAGAGAGAAAGGGCAACTACAGGTTGCACTGGATTGCCCCAGCCAGAGCCAACTCTCTTTAAGGACCTTCCATGCTCGGAAATGAAACACTGACTGATCATGAGCACACTAAGAACAGACATTGTGAGGAAACATGAAAGAGAAGGAAGAAGAGACCCCTTACCGAGGGAACTTACCCTAAGTCTCATCACGCGACAGTCTCATCAGGAGTCAGCAGGGACCTGACTCCTGCCTGAGCAGGGACTGCACAGCTCTTACAAACTACTACCACCTTGGGCCTCCATCTTGCACACAGAAGCCTGAGGAGGTTCTCAAGCTCCAGGGTGCCAGGCCCCACCCACTGAGGTTCTAAGTTAATAGGTGTCGGGAACACCCATGCATCTGGGTTTTCCAAAGCTCCATAAAGGCATCTGATGTGAAGACTGGGCTGAGTATGAAATATTTAGTATTTCTTAAATGTGAGCTGCCAGCACTTGGTTTCTCTTTCTTTCCCTATTTGCTTCACATCTCCCCCATTCTATTTCCATGGCCAGGATTAAAATTGTTAGCCCTTTTGGGGCACCTGGATGGCTCAGCTGGTTGAGCGTCTGATTCTTGGTTTCAGCTTGGGTCCTGATCTCGGGATCGTGATATCAAGGTCATGAGATCGAGCCCTGTGTTGGGCTCTGTGCCCATCGGGGAGTCTGCTTGAGATTCTCTCTCCCTCTCCTTCTGCTCCTCCCTGCTGCACTCTCTCTCTCTCTAAAATAAACAAATCTTTAAAAAAAATTGCTAGTCCTTTTACATAATAAAAAGTACTAGATGTAACTCAACAAAAATGTCCTGAAAAGTAAAGTAAATAAGGAGCGTTAGCTTCTCACTGCTAGTTAAAATGCAATATAATGATGCAAATCTGATGCAATTTTTTTATATAAATCCCCCTGAAACATTGAAAACACAGACCAAGAAGAATAGATAGGGTAGCAGAAGATTTGGTACCCTGGGTAAAGATGATCCCCGTGAAGTCACAAGCACCCCCATGCCAAAAGTCACTTGGTCAAGCAAGCCCACATAGGCTGCTCTTGGCATTGTTAGAGTCAGGTAGAATGTAATTTAGGGGTTTCACTGTCTCCTCCAACATGTTGCCTGACCCACCACTTCCATGCAACACATCAAAACAGATCCCTCGAACCTGATCCTTGGGTGGTCCTGTGCAAGTAATATCTGCTAATACAAAGAAAGACTAGCACGTATTGTTCATTATGTGCACATACATTGCATCCAATGCCCTCTACATGTACAACTGATTTCATCCTCCAACAACCCCAGGAGGTAGGTATGGTAATTTCCTTATATTACAGATGAGGAAACTGAAGCACAGAGAGACTGAAGAACTTGCCCAAGGTCACAGAGCTGGAAGGTAGTGGCACTGGGTTTCAAACCCATGGAGTCCAGCTCCAGAGCACACTCCAGTCCAGCTCTCGATCACTAAGGCTTCCGTTAGCTTCGTTATGTAATTTTCCAGTGAAACCTACAAATCAAATAAGTTGGATGTTCTGTGTAGGCAAATGATTTCCTTTTAGTTACTTCTCTTAAGTGTTCATTCCTTGCCAAAACATAAGACTGTTAGTGGTTCACCTTAGAAAACAGTTCAACAGGTGCTGCTGTTGCCTTCTGTTCTGTCAAGTACTGTTCCCACGACCACGCTTCTTGTGCAGTCACTGAAGGGACTGGAAAAGAAAACACAGTGACTTTTCTTGAAACAGTTAGTGACAGAAAAATAATATCTAACTGAAGATTAACTCAACAAGCAGGCTGATTCATCAAAGAGGTCATCAGGAGACCCAGCAACTGATAAAAACCTTATCTCTCACTTTCCATGAGCATTTGGTAGAGTCATCTAACCAGTCCATACGCAGTTTCTCCTGTTTTAGAACAGGCCTATGAATACATCCCCTGCCAAGAAGACCGCTGATAAACACTTAAAATGGGTAGTTTCTTACTCCTCTCAAAGAAGAGTAAACCGGTACCGGTTTTCTAAAACATGATTTGGTTCATTTTAAGGTGAATGACCTGAAAATATCTGTATCATCTCCTTTCGCTTTCATACCTCTTTTTGGGATGAATGTCACTTGGTATAACCTTTGGAAGGCAATGTGGAAATATATGTCAAAAGCCTTAAGAATTATTCATATATAATTTTGAACCAGCAATTCTGCTTCCAGAATTTGTCTTAATGCGATTACAGTGAATGTGCCCAAGGGGCAAACACGAGGGTTTTTATCCTAGAACTCCTCATAATAATGAAACATTGGAAACAAATTACAGGTCCACCAAGAGGGGGTTAATTAAATGCATTGTACAAACGTGTCATTTTAATAATAGGCTGTAAAATTACATTATAGAAGATTAATGTCAGAGAAAGACTATGTTAATGATACACTACTAGTGGAAAAAAAACAGCAGTTTAGAAAACAAAATGATCCTTTTTGGTAAAATACGTAATTGAAATGTGAAAGACTAAAATTATGTAAATCAAAATCTTAAGTGAAGTCATCTTTAGCTGCCAGGATTATGGCTTCTTCCCAGTTTTCTCTGCACTTTATTTTTCTGCTTTCCAAATTTTCTAGATCAATAGCTATCCTTTGTAATTCAATAAAAATATCATTTTTAAGTAATAAAAATCTGAAAAGCATTGATAATTGTTTTAAGTTTATACTTCTACATCCCAGTAATTCCCCCTCTAGGATTAACATGCTAAGTAGTCATGATAAAAGTTGACAGTAAAAATATACATCAGAACATTATTACAGCAAAAACACAAAATAATATTAATATGAGAAAAAGGTCAAAAAGACTATAATACATGTACCTATATACATAGGCACATATATACATATGATTTTGAAGTTATTGAAAACTATTTTTTAAGTAACAAAATACCTTGAGAATTTTCTAGGTTAAGTAAAATCAAAGTATGTACATAAAACATAAAACAGATTATATTATCCTAAATTTTAAAATATAAATTTTTACATATATTGAGACATTCATTTATTCAACATATTTATAAAGCACCTTCTTTGTGCAAGGCACTATGTATAGATATTTGTCCACACATACAGACACACAAGCATAGAAAAGCAATTGAAAAGGCACAGCAAAATATTAATAGTGGCTATATGTGGGTAGTAGGATTAATGTAAATATTCTTCCCTTGTTTGTTACTTTCTATCATTTTAAAATTCTCTACAAGTATTATTACCATACACATACACACACACACACACACACACACTCTCACAAACACACACTCATATACACACATCCTGGAGAAGATTGGCCAAAAATCACTATGTGAGTTTTAACATTTATCTTGCTGTAAAATGTTCCTGAAGAAGGTACAGATGGTAAAAGGTCAGAACTGCATGAGCATTGCTAGTGACAGGTGGTAAAATGCACCTTTAAGTCAAACATTTGAAGCCTCTCAAGACAATAAAGCAACCTGATGGGATAACAAACATAAAAATCCATCACATTGTATAGGAAGAATTCATGTAGACTTTTAATCATTTAAAAAATATTTGATGAGCTTACTGTGACAAGAAGCTGTCCGTTCAAATAGAAATATAACCCAGTCCCTGATCCAGTAGATGAAAAATAAATAATATATACGATTTATCTTTTGATATACATCTATATATAATTGACCAAAAGGGAGTAATTTAAGCTCAGATTATAAAGAAAAAATCATATCAAGTTAGAGTTTAGAAACAGACACAGAGTATATACATTAATATTTACTATTTATCAATCATAACATACTAACATGGTTCTTGCTAAGAAATACACTTACTAAAGTATGAGAATTTTGAAAAGCATTTTAATCATCAAATAAGGCTAACAGAATTGTCATCAATGGATTTTCTTGCTTTGTTTGAAAATAATGAGACATCATAGTGTGATTTCCATCAAGGAGCTTACAGTCTATTCAAACATTATAGCATTTACAGGTTTACTGCCACTTCTACCACAATATGAGATATTTTATTTTCCAAAGTAGAGAAAGCAATTTGACAAACCCTGAAGATTCCCTAGTAAGATTATTCAACATCCGTATTTTCACATAAGCATTTTACTACATTACAATTATATGCTTTACAAAAAAACATCACGGCAGTGTTTTCTCTAAAGCAAATACAGATACCTCATTTTCTACAACAGCTGTGTTCTTAAAAAGATTGTGTATAATTTCTCAACTTAGTCATATTTCCCATTGTTATATATCATCATTTCACCAGCAGTAAATCATATCTACAATCATCTCTTATGATCACATAAGTCTGTAATAACCCTTCTAAGTTTTATCAGAAAAAGAAAACATGATACCAAAAATAACAATTTTCCATGGATTCAGTATTTTTGTAAAGCAAGAGGACTAGTCAGCAACACAGTACCAGCCAGTGAGACAGGGAAATACCACGTTCCTCTGCTCCTGGGGCCACACGCAGGCCTTGCGTCTCATCACTGACTCTAGGGGGACTCACGCCAGCTGAGAGGAACCAGTTTGCTTATTTAGAATTAGGATGTAAATTCTTAAAAAGAAAGGATCTCGCTGATCTTGTCCATCACTCTATCCTTGGAGTTATAACCATGCCTGGCCATAAATATTTGTTTAATGAATGAAAGGGAAGGGAGGCAGGTGAGATAATAATTTTGGCTTTTTTTTTTTTTAAATATATATTTTTTATTTATTTTGAGAGAGCTAGCACACAAGTGAGAGAGCACAAGCAGGGGGAAGGGCAGAGGGAGAAGCAGGCTCCCCGCCGAGCAGGGAGCCCGACATGGGGCTCGATCCCAGGACCCCGGGATCATGACCTGAGCCGAAGGCAGATACCTAATGACTGAGCCACCCAGGCGCCCCAATAATTTTGGCTTTTAAAATGAATTCAAAGAGATCTATTTTGACCAACTCATTGCTCAATTTCCTGGAGAGAAGGAACCAATTATGAATAGCACTGCTTCAGGCACCAAATTTTCTTTATTTTTTATGCAATTTTCTTGAACATTCTACAGACACGACATTCATTTCACAGAGTATTAGATAGGCACACAAGTTTGTAAATCCTAAATTCCATTTCTTTTCACTATATACAGTGGCTACAGCAAAACATTCCAATTATTACTCTTCTGCCACACATTACTAATATACAACATATATTTAATTTTACATAACCTGTCACTTAATATGTACCTATTCTATGCCAGGTACCAAATTACAGGGGGTGTGTGTATGTGTGTGTGTGTGCATGCATGTACATGATGTAAGCGTATATGTACGAATGTGTATGTTTCCATTTATTCTTTACAACACTGAATATCAGATTTGTAACCTCATTTTATAATTATAGGAAACAGGCTTACAGAGGTCACACATCTGGAAAAATGTGGATTTAAACAAAATGTCTAGCCCATGCACTCCCATTATATAATACTGTCTCACTTTAGCTTACACGGTGAAAATGTAGCAGAAATACCTATTAAATTACTAAATTTTAATGTAGCAGAAATACCTATTAAATTACTAAATTTTAATGTAGCAGAAATGCCTATTAAATTAATAACTTTTAATTTGGCAGAAATGCCTATTAAATTAATAACTTTTAAGTTTAAAAGCACCACAAATAAGTCTGCAGGGTAATAAATAAGCTCACTCACTCATGGTGGCTGTGTAAATTGGACTCAAACTTGGGAAGTCATGTTGACAATGCATACAAGCATATCTCGGAGATACTGCAGGTTCAGGTCCAGTTCCAGACCCCGGTAATCAAGGAACTATTGCAACAAAGCTAGTCAAATGAATGTTTTGGCTTCCCAGTGCATATAAAAGTTATGTTTACACTATACTGTAGCCTATTAAGTATGCAATAGTGTTGTGTCCTAAAAAACAACGTACATAATGTAAAAATATGTTATTGATGGGACACCTGGGTGGCTCAGTCAGGTAAGCTTAACTCTTGGTTTCAGCTCAGGTCATGATCTCGCAGTTGTGGGATCAAGCCCGTGTCGGGCTATGCTCAGTGCAGTCTGCTTCAAATTCTCACTTCCTCTCCCTCTCATTCACTCTCTCACTCTCTCTCACTCAAATAAATAAATAAAATCTTTTAAAAATATATATTTTATTGATTAAAAAATGCTGTCATCTGAGCTTCCAGTGAGTGACAATCTGTTGGCTGGTGGAGGGTCTTGCCTCGATGCTGAGGCTGCTGACTGAGCGGGCGGGGGTTGCTGACAGTGGGGGCAGCTGTGGCAAAGTCTTCAAGTAAGACAACAATGAAGTCCGCTGCACCGAAGGACTCTTCCTTTCACTTGAAGGCTTAGAAGTCATGGTGGGGTTATTCACCGTCCTGATGTCAATACTGCTGTGTCTCAGGGAGGAGAGAGGCCCGAGGACAGAAAGAGAGCGAGGGGACTACTGGCCGGTGGGGCAGTCAGAGCAAACACAACATTTATCGATGAAGTTCACCATCGTAGACGGGTCCAGCTCATGGCACCTCAAAACCTTTACAAAAGTACCTCAAAGACCACTGATCACAGATCGTCATAACAAATATAATAATAATTAAAAAGTTTAAAATATTGTGAGAATTATCAAGCTTGACACAGAGACACGAAGTGAGCAGATGCTGTGGGAAAAACACACCGACAGACTTGCTTGACGTAGGGTTGC